ATAATGATCGTGTTTAAAAGATTTGATGATATCATTTCCATTATTACCCTTTTAATTTTAAATTTTTTTTGAATCTTTTTAAATTTAAATTTTAATTTTAAAAATCTTTTAATTTTATTTTTTATCACAATATGAGGTTATTGGGTTGTTTTTGCGTTCTCGTAAATCACAGGGGTTCTCGTTTGAACTCTTCCCTATATATATATATATATATATATATATATAAGTGAGAAAAGCAATGGATTGGAAAGTGAGAAACACAATGAATATGGAAAAATGTAAAGCAGAATCTTGAGTCAATTTTTGTGTTTTGACCTTTCACAAACCAAAGAAACATAATCTAACATCATTCCATAAAATTAATTAAAGAAAACAACTTTGGAGATTTTCTTTCCTCGTTATCATTATATGTTGGACCCCAAGACAGTGGACTACTTTCTTTTAATAATTCTAATTATTATTATTATTCTTATTCTAGAAGCATAAATAAATTCATTTTAATCAATAATCACTTCAACTATGTTTTAAAACCTATATTAATTACATAAATACAATTTCATCATATTTTATGAAGGCACTTTGGTGATTTATAACACCATATTTTTATCGGGACATTACAAGATTGATTTTACATATAGAACGGTTTTCATGTAAGTCTTGTATATCGTCACTTTGTGTATATTATAGTTGTGTGAAACGAAAGTAGTGACGAGACTTGTGTGGGCCGGATCAAGAACTTTTCACTGATTGTCCTTTTCGCTCTTTTCTTGTATCGCTTTATTTTCCTGTTTGCTTTTGTTGAAATTGTTGGCGTAACAAAACCGGTAAAAGCTTCTAATCGTGGTTTGGTTATATGACTGTGATTTAATGGGTTGTGTTAGATCAACATAGCATAAACGTATTTAGTTTGAATATTATAATCTATGAGTTGACAGAAAAATAATCAATTATGAATCAATCGACAAGTAGATTTGCCCAGTAACTTATGATTCATGTGATAATGGTTTCATTTGGGTATTTCATCCATCGAAAAAAAATTATGACGCTTGATTTGTGTAAGGTCTCAAGCACAAAACAGTAGATTTGCCCAGTAACTTATGATTCAAACTAAAACCATGATTAAGGTTTTGATTATCCATGTCTTAAGACTTATAATCAGAAGCTCACAAATTTCACTCTCTATTGATATAAGACTAATTGTCACAACTCGTTGATTTTCAATCATCCCCTCCACTCCAATGGAAACACCCATAATTGCATCCAACCACCCTTCCTTTCACCATATTTAAACCACACCTCCCAAGTTTTACTCACTTTTGATTCTTTCACTTTCTCTTGACTTGAGTTCCACCACTACATGATGCATCAATCTTCCTCCTCCACCACTATCACCACCACATCTGTCAATGGCTTCTACGATTTCCTCACTCACAGTCTCGATGATCTTTATCACTCTTTCAATTTTCAGAACTTCATGTCAGTCCACTTCTTACAACTTGTTCTTGCATCCCTCCAATCTTTCCATTCTCAATTAACCCTTTTGGTTCACAAACTACACTTACCCGTAGGTGAAAAGTGGCTTGATGAGTACATGGACGAGAGTGCACGCCTTTGGGAAGTATGTCATGTCCTTAAGTTAGGAATTTCAAACATGGAAAACTATTGTTCCATGGGTTCCAACATCCCGTCTTTCCTTGAAAACCATAACTTAAATCCACAAATCTTAAGCCAGGTAAATCATACGTTCTTGACCACTTATGTTTCTTTAGGCTTCAATAGCTTCATTTTGAATTAAAAAAAGTTAAGTGAAATGTTGCAGGTGCTTAGATCAACCAACCGTTGCCAAAGGGAGAAAGTTAGATTGGAGGAAGAAAACAAGAGCTTAGTAGAATCAAGGATTAAGCCATTGATGATGAAATTCGATGAAGATATGATAATTGAATCGAAGTTTAATGGGTTCAATGGCTTTAGAGGAGTACTATATGCGTTAAAGAACATAAGCTCATTACTTTTGAAGATCATGCTTAATGCCCTAGTTTATTGCTCTCATGAAACAAGTTTTTCCTCTTCGTCCTATGGGAATACTATTTGTTATAATGAAAGTCAGATGGTTTTTGGTTCGGGTTTTATGGTCTCAGCTACAAGATTGAACGACAGAGTGAAAATGAGTGAAGAGGGGCAAAATGGTATTTTACTTCACGAGTTTCGAAACACAGGACAAGCCATGGATGAGTTGAAAACAGAGTTGGAAAGTATTAGAGGGTTTGAAACAGAATTTGATGTAAGTGAAAGGGTGGAAAAGTTAAAGAATTGTTTCCAAGGGTTGCATAGCGGAGTTGAAAACATGATTGTACAACTTGATGATTTTTTTGACGAGATTGTAGAAAGTAGGAAGGAACTCTTGGACCTATGCATTCATACCATAAGCATTTAGGTTCCAGTAGCCTATTTAACCTCATAAAGGGACATCTTTCCGAGTTCTATCATTTCAGCTCATATACGTACCAGTTTCACCCCTTTTTCCTGAAAGAACAGAACTACTGAACTTATGTAGCCATGTACGTAGTGAAAGTTACTTTCTCAAGAACAATATACTATAAAAATTTGTATACCATGCATCAACGATTATACGTTACCTTGATCTGTCAATTTCGATTCTTGTAACAATCAAATAACAAAGGTGATATCAAACCATGTGGTAGCTTTTTAATTGAATTGTTTTTCTCTTTAGGGATTGTAGGCTTCACTTTTTGTGTTTGAGCTTCAAATGAATGAGTTTGATGTTGACCCAAGTGATATGATATGGATTAAAAAAGAAAAGAGAATGTGATTCTCCCTTTTGAAAGGAAAGTAAAAATGAGATTTGCATACAAGTTAGGAGACATCAAGAATATAAATCATCACAAATGTCTCTTTAAAGAATGTACAAATTTTACATGTGTGCCAAACAAAAAAACCTATATTAAAGTTGTATAATGTGATTTATTTGTGATTTCTATGAAGCTTATTGCATCAATAATGTCTTAAACCAGAAGGGCGGTGTTCGATTAGTTTAAATTTGGCTCCAAAGGTCAAAAGTTTCTAGAGGTCTCAGGTTCGAATCCAAAGAGGAATAAAAATCTTCTTGTGGCCATGGATGTTCAAATGTGACAACTTCAGGCTACCCGCGAAGCAGGTGGTTGCTCTGAGATTAGTCGGCTCGCATAGTGAATTAGATATCTAGGTTAATAAAAAAAAATTGTTGTGAATTATTAATAGTAATTGTAAAAAAAATCTTATCAAATGAAAAGAATGATTCTATTAAGTAATTATTAATATAAGAATGATTTTTTTGTATCTATACTGCATTATAAAGTATTTGATAAACACTCTTAAAAACCATTTTTTTTTATGTATAAAGTACTGTTTTAAGATACATATTACTTAAAATTCATATTACAAGTAAATTATGTGTAAGTATAACTTATTAAAGCTTCATTTTTGAATTTGTGTAACTAAATATAGATAAACATGATCAAATATGGGATAGACATCTCATTTTGAATATAAAAAATCTAAAATATAATTAGGATAAATATTAGTTATAACAAAATACTTAATTATTATTTTTATAAAAATTATATTATTAAATGATAAATAAATTACTTCGTTATTAAATTTGAATTAAATTAGAAATAAAATATTGAATTAAAGAAATAATACAAAAAAATCAGAACTTTAAATAGTAAATTTGATACTGGTACCGATATAATTTTTTTCCCAAATTTATATGATATATTTAAATTTATATTTTATTCAAAAATAAAAGCATTATCGTTTTCTCAAAACCACTAAAAACCGTATTATATCAACATAGATAAATAATAAAATGAAACATTAAAAATGAGATATATTTCGCTATATTATGTAAGCACCCTTCTAGTTATTATCTAAAGAGTCTAGTTTTTTACAGTAAAATTTTATACTTAAAATTATATTTAAATTCTTATGAATATTTTATATAAATCCCAAGACAAATATTGTTAATTTTTTGTTGAAAGACCTAAACATACATAGCGTAAGTCAAGTCTATCGTTTGTTTATTAATAAATCATTGTTAACTGTGCAATTTTCATATATTTCTCTTTTTAATTCAGGTGATCGAAAAAGGATAAATTACCAGTCATATGTTGGAATCCTACAACGGTTAGATTTGTACCTTTTTTTCATTCGACCCTAATTTATTTCCTCAATAGCTGTTATAAAAAGTTATCTCTCATAGTTACACACATACATATCTATAATACTAATAAATAAGTAACTTTGGGGACACGTGTCACGTTTCTGTGCGACGGTTRTTGATTTTTCCCGCCTAAAACACAATTTTCACTTACGGCCCCCAGACTTACAACATAACTCTGTAAAAATTCACGTCTGAATTTAACTCTGGAGTGGTCATCAAAACCGGGTTTAAAATTTCAAATTCGCATTTTTGAAGCATTTTTCACAAATCAATATTACCCGGTAAAAAAATTAGAAGAACATGTACTCTTAATACTTAATTAATTAATAATAATGTGAATTTAATTAATTTATATAGTTATTAAAAGAATATTAATACCTTATTAATTAATAATAACATAAAGTTAATTAATTTATAACATCTATATACGTAATAAATAAGTAACTTTTGGGACACGTGTAGTTAATTAATTAATTAATAAGCTGACATGACAGCTCGACCCCAGCCAGGGTTTCTGCCCCTTGGACCCCGCCACCCGGGGGCGCTGCCCTTGACCTCTTCTGTTAGGGGATTCGTCCCTAAATCAAAATAAACTCAAACAAGTGTGCACTTCGCACCTGCCTTACATGTTCAATATTTATCATGATTACATTGGTCAACAATTTAATCTCATTACACTTAAATGACATTAGTGATACAAATTATCAACATGAAGCCATCAGATATTGGTTATTTCTCAGACTTACAACATAACTCTGAATTGTTCTGTTCCAAACTTAGTTATATAGTTTATTCCCAGACTTAGAATACAACACTAAACTCCTCTTCAGAGTTATGTTTCTAAGTTATAAGAAATCAAACTTCTTGTGACTTAGAGTTATGCTCGTAGATACTTTCTAGACTTAGAAGACAACTCTGAATTCCTCTTATTCAGAGTTAACTCCAGAGTTATTTCCCAGTCTAACAATAGAATTCCGAATTCTTGTGTTTCAGAGTTAATGTTCAGAGTTTTCTTTCAGAGTTAATGTCCAGAGTTTTTCTCATTTAATAAGAACCAAGGACAGTCATTATCAAAAGTTGGTTTATTTATGAGACAACGGAAAATTTATACAAACTTGTAGCATTGGCTAATTTTAGCAATTAAATCTTGAAAAGAACTTCACACTTGTAGTCAGATTGGTCGTCTTGATTTAGAAGTCTTGCAATGCTAGATATTGTCCGTCGTGAACTCCGGAGGATTTCTTAGCCCTTGTGTTTGTCAAGCCTGATTATGTCCTTCATACATAGCTTAACAGAGGTTCTGCATGTGCTATGCGGTCACTCTGAACCAGACTATGTTTCATGCAGAGCTGCACAGAGGCTCTGCATTTAAGTCTTGAGAAAGAGCTATGTCTCTTCACGTAATGCGTTGAGGCTCTGTCTCTTACTCCGAAGATGACCTTCAGACTTGTAACTCTGAATAGTTTCCGTCTTAATCTCTGGAAACTTTCTTTACGCTTGTGTCCTTGAAGCCTGATTATGTTCTTCATACAGAGCTTAACAGAGGTTCTACAGGTGCTACAGGGTCATTCTGACCCTGCCTCCATCCTTCATACAGAGCTTCATAAAGGCTTTGTACTTGTCTTGAGTAAGAGTTCTATCTCTGGATGTACTACCCAGAGCCTCTGATTCCCTTTGTTGTCTCATACAGAGGTATACAAAGGCTCTGCATGTACTACGCAGCGCTGCATATTAGATCTACATTGTTCGTCTTCATTTAGAAGTTTTTCTGATCATCGAAGCACATGCCGTCCTTTGTATATGTAACATTTAATTCTCCAGTAAGAGCATATTTATATCAAAAATTTAATCGGACTTGTACTTTTGTCTAAGTTTTTAAATTACCTCCGATTATTAAGTCTTTATAAAATACATATCAGTTTCGTTTAATTTTTGTCATTAACCCGTGTAATACACGGGTCCAAACCTAGTATATTGTTCGTCGGTTTATTCAATCTTAGATTTCAACACAAAAATAGATATCGGCGCAAGTATACACGCTGAACTACTGTCGTCTCGTAACAAGTAATAATGGTATAAGTACCAGATATCGTTCCCACAGAGATAGCTTGTAAAGTTCTTCAAAAGTCCAGTTTATAAAACCTAATTTCATATGGCGAAACGAGGGATTTGATTTATCTAAAATTGGGAGATTTAATTAACAACTAGGAAAATATCAATCTTAAAAAGAAGCACAGAGTGCAACAGTTGATTAAGACATTAAACAAATGATTCAGCAAAAAGGTGACATAGCATTCCTGTCACAATTATCTAAAATCAATAAATGATTTTATATAACTGTCACAATATCAACTATCGGGTCAGACGGCCTCCCAGGAGCACACACCGGTCAATGTGCTATCGATACGATATCATTTATGTTAGACGTCATGAATCCTAGCACAACACAATCTTACCATCTTACACCGTTAGAATATAGCATTTGTCGGATACTAAAGCTATTTATAGCTTTCTCCTATTACCTCAGGTTTTGAAAGTCAATACATTTTTATACACAAAATTAGTTGTCAATTAATTTTAATGTAATCATCAAATAAAATATTAAGCACCTGAAATAAATAATAGACTATAATGCTAATAAGATACATTTGTACTTTCACATCGGCTTTGGTCTTAATTTCCCCTTACACCCCAAGCTAAGGCGTTAGCCCATCATTGTTCGGTTTCTTCTCTCGAATGATGTAAGGACTGAAAAATAAATACTAATACGGAAAAGTAAATTGCAGAAAGTAAATTGCAGAAAGTAAATTGCAGAAAGTAAATTGCAGAAAGTAAATTACAGAAAGTAAATTACAGAAAATGGAAATACTGGAATTTAAAGTA